TTTTATTTTTGTAATGTGTTTAACAGGATTTTGGTATTTTATGATGCTTTTAGTTGTTATTTTGTTTGTTAAGTTAATTTAGGTTGTGTTATATTGTCCAATGTGTTTATTCTGATGTAATTGTCCATATGGTTTTCTTTCTGGCAATTGAATGTTTGTCTTATATGAATGTTAACTGCCCTGAGTCCCTTCAGGGAGATAGGGTGGTATACAAATAAATTATTATTATTATTATTATTATTATTATTATTATTATTATTATTATTAAAAACAATTCAGGACATTCAAAACAAAGTACAAAGAGTACATTATATCCTGAATCATAGTGTAGTTTCATTTCCAACTGAAATACTACAGCTAAAGTTAATCAAATGATAACCTCATTAATATAACAGGCTTACTGTAGTTAATCCTAGAACACCTCCTACTCAAAAACTTTGCTCAAGAGTTAAGTTATAGTTCAGTGCTGAAATGAGGCCAGTGTCATTTCCAATCAGGCATCCAAGAGAAGGCCATTCCACTGCATGTGGTCTTTTTACCGTGTCGAGTACTATGAGTCTACTTGAGCTACTGTAGCAACATTTAAAGATTTTTGTGATTTTGAGTTTGGGAGAGACATTTAGAATTCTTATATTATTAAGGAGCGTTGTGTCCAAAAATACAACATATATAGAATATAGCAGTATTTATCTATGCAGTCAGAAAAACATATTATTCCTACACAATCGTTTATCATCTGTGTTTATACTGCTTGCAAGCTTTATCTACATGCTCCAGTGGATAAAGCAGAGAATTAAATAGATACAGATGGATTTGGCTTTTCTTATGAAATCGTAATATATGACATGCCGTGCAGGAAACATATGTGTTATGCGTACATATTGCTAGGACTGCTTTATAAATACATACATTGCAAATAGTGAAACCCTAAACTGGAAGGTACATGAAGGTACCAGCTTTCACAAACAATACATCTTCGGTAGTGTTGTTTGACTGGCAAAGCATCCATCCTGGGCCCATGACTTAGCCTTATGTTATTTCTGGGGGTGTCACTTTGCCATCCCTTTAAATATGGTTTTGACTTTAAAACAAAATTATTATTGATTTCAAAACAAAAATTCGATCATTACTATCAACGCACAGTTTGCTAACAAACCATTCGGTATTTATGTGGCCATTGTTGCGTTAGTGTTTGATTTACATTCACAGTGGGAAAAAAAACACTACATGTATCAAAATGAACTAGCTGGAGCGTTAATAAGAAAATATTCATACCTCTTCAAAAATATTCCCTCTTGCCATATTCCCGGCTAATGATATATATATCCTTGTGAAAAAGCTCTCTTGCCCCAAGCTGTGATGTAATTTTTAAAGTCATTCTCCATGTTAGTATGTTGAGAGCTGATATGTATTCTACAGTACTTTTTCTCTGCTAAATGAATTATTCATTGATGAAGAAACTTTACTTAATGTATGTTCATGTTGAAAGTATTCAGAGCCTCTTTCATCAGACAGCAACAAGAATAAATTATCCAGTTAGAAGCTAAGCTATGTTACCTGTCCAACACTCCTAGATTTATGCCTGCTTTCACAATGTACTACGTAACATAAATCTTCCCATCAAAGCTGTAAAAACATACATGTGCAAATTTTCCCTCTTCATCATTTGGCAGATCATGAGCTAGACCTCCAAAGTCTCTAGCGCTTTCCTTCCCATTGATTCTTTTCTCTGCAATTTCCATTGGCTCAATGCAGTCAAAAGACCAGATTGCTATACAGTTGGCCCTTCCATGCTTGCAGGGGTTAGAGGAGCAGAATCCCTGTGAAATGGGAAAAACTGTGAATATAGGGTATAGGCTATTTTTTAAACCTGAGAGAACGCTTCTCTAAGCTTTTGTAGGTCCTCCAGTACAATTCTATGTTCAACTTCTGCTGGATAAATCATTAAGATCAGAAAGAATACTCCTTCTATTGAAGAATGAAAGCAAAATTCTTTATCCTGCACCCAGCAATGACTTCAGGCAGTAAATTAAGATCGGACTTCACTCCTCATAGTTCTCATTTCAATTATTAACACTTCAATAATTATCTGCTCAATCTATGCCTATATACTCATGGGGTATAGTATTAGTTAGGCCTACTCTTAATAACAAGTCTCAAGCAATCAGAAATTATGTTTATCTGGCATCCACATCTCAAGCGCAGCTGGTGGGAACGAGGGGGGGGGGGCGTCCCTGTGATCGCTCTCTGCCTCTGGAACTCCATCTCAAAAGAACTAAAKACTGCCCCCCCCCCTTTTAAAAGTTGCTAAAAACACATCTATGCACTCTGGCATACAGAGAAGAGAAAGACTAATATGTTTTGACACATAACATCATCTAGATCAGTGGTTCCRAACCTGTGGTCCGTGGACCACCAGTGGTCCACAAGAACTAAAATATGGTCTGCGGCTTCACCATTACTACACTGTTGCCTCAAAACCACATGGCCATGAGCGACTGGCCTCACAAAACCCTCTTATAGTGCTGAGGAAACAGGGGTGTCAGGAAAGATGCCCACAAAAGATTACTACTACATCAGCTCTAGGTTATTAAATACAGATTTCTGTGGACTACTGGTTGGCATATGTTCTGTATCAAAAACTAGAGCTGATGTGGTCTATCCAATTTTCTGAATGAGCACCCCAAATAACCAAACCGAATCTAAAGTTGACCAAAAACTGATCCATAACCCTTTTGGCACTAATGTTGGAAAGTGGACCCTGGTCAAAGTGGGCCCTGGTCAAGTGGTCCCTGGTAAAAAAAAAAGATTGGGAATCACTAGTCTAGATATATTAAATCTTGTCTAGAAACTGGAATTGATGTCAGCTCATTAGTTGTTGGTAACCATTTTACCTCTTAATAAGGTTCCAATTGTTTTAAATTTTCATTGTTTAAATTAATATTGTGTTGTTAAGATTGTCAATTTTTATTTTTAGTTAATGTCTATTTGGTATTAAGTTTATAGTAATGGTTGTTCTAGTTTCTTTGATGTGTCTTGTTTTGATGTACATTGTTATATGTCTTTTTATTGGCATTGAATGTTTGCCAAATGTGTTGGAAACTGCCCTGAGTCCCTTTGGGGAGATAGGGTGGTCTACAAATTATCATCAGCATCAGCATCATCATCCAATCCCTATGGGTGGTGATTAACTGAGAGTATACTGTAATCTGCCAATATAATGTGCCTAATCAGTTTTTGTTCAAATCTGGGTAGCTCCCAGATACAATGTCCTCCATTCACAGCCATACTTGCTGCCTTTTTTTTTAAATCCCTTGTTGAACTGAAGTATCTCAAAATTGTTTCAGAACAAGTTAACCTGCTCCAATCCACTCTCAATTTGGGGAAATCCTGCCCAATCTACTTCAGAATTTGGAAAAAAAATTGTTTAAAATAGTCGCAGAGCCTTACTTGGTAAGATCTCAGACTTCTTTGGTGTTGAAAAAGATTACTCAGAAGTTCCAGAGAAGGATGCAATGTATCTAGAACTACCTGCCTTTACTAGAGATGAGCCAAAACATCACTCAGTCTCAAAATAGAATTTGCAAAACAAAATGTTGTAAGCAAATGTGTTGGAAGTATACCAGTCACCAAATTTAAAATGTGCTCTGGCTTGGAAGGAATACAAAAATGGACAATGAGTCACTCCTCCCTGATGTTAAAGAGTTTTGAAAACTAGTTTAAGTACTTACTAATTTATGCTTTTGTGAAGTTTATAAATGAAAATTATGACACTTAACAAAATTTAAAAAATGAATACCTTCTGCCTTGGAACTACTTTTAGTTCTCTTCACAAATATTAATTAATAAGTTATTCTGCTTCTGGGGTTACTACTATATTTACTAGTTTCAAATATTGTTAGCTAAGCATTCCTTCCTAATTAAAATGTCTACACAATTATCGTGATTCAACTCTACTGAACTCTTTAAGCAAGAAGGGGCTCCAATTTCGATCGCCTGTTCCATATGCAATCAGTTTTCATTTGGCATACTGTTCTCCTTGTGGGGGACTAGGGAGAGTCAGATGGGAAGCATATTAAATATGCAAAAGAAATATGAAGTCAGGGGACCTGCTATCTTTTACAAAGGAGTTCTAAAGTTTTCCAAGATTAGAACATTCGAGCAGCCTGGGTCTCCAGATACAGCTGCTCAGTAAGGAAATATAAAGATAAAACATTCAGCTTAATTAATTTTTAATTTCCTGCATTCCCAAATTAAGAGTAAAAATTGATTTAATATCTTCTGTTTTCTTGAAATATTAAAAACTACTCCAAAGACCTGTGGTTTCTACCAATTTTTGAGAAAATATGTGCATATATATCAGCATAAGTAATATAAATTGATCTAATGTGAATTGCCCTGTTAAGACATGCATGTGAATGGCTGAATGAATATTAAAATTCACAAAAGATGAACATACAAGAAAAACTGAATCTGTTAGATTCATGTGGCCAGCATGACTGCACAGAGCACCGTTACCTTCCCACCGAAGTGGTACCTATTGAGCTACTCATATCTGCATGTTTTTGAACTGCTAGGTTGGCAAAAGCTGCAGGTCACCCCGTCCGCAGATTCGAACCGCTGACCTTCTGATCAGCAAGTTCTGCAGCTTAGCGGTTTAACCCACTGCACCCTATTTATAATTTTAGCAACATGAAAAACTAAGAAAGTTACAAATAGGTAGCAACTTTGAGTTATGGATGGTTGTGACTCAGAAAGCTTTTATTTTTATTAAATGTTACTATGTCAGAATGACCCAAGATGATGTCTTTGCTGACATGGAAAAATAGGTGTATAATTTTGGGAAAGACAACCAACTGACTGAGATTTTAGCTAAGTTAACCCTACTGAGTCATGAAACTTACTTCTCTGATGACATATTTCTATGAGGATAATGTAGAGAGGAGCACAGTGGTGGAAAGAATAGCTATTAAGGTCTCTAAAGAACAACAAGAAACAGATCAATAGAAAACAGTTTATGTAAACATATATGCAACAATACTTTACATGGAAGTCAACAGGCTTCCCACTTTGTTCATTTTTCTAACAGAACCAAAACGTACAAGTTATATTTCAGTTAACAATACAGTATGTTTTCATAAGAATCTGACCATTATCTATATCAATTTTTCAAAACAAAGACATTTTTTCTTTGCTGCAAGATATCAGAACACTTTAAAAGCAATATACTTTGTCAGAATTTGGAGTATTATTGGGACTTTAAAAGCCGATAAAGTAATGTTTTTCGACTGAGCAATGAACCATCATTCGAAATATGCTAACTGTATTACTGTAAGTGTATCCACTAGGAATAACATAGTAAAACATTTTTTAAAATGGACAAAGATTTTTTTTGAAAATAGTGGAGTGTACTTTGAGTTCTCCTTTTCAATATTTGTGAAGGATGCATAAAAATTGAAATTAAGTCACCTTAGTTTTTGTGAGCTAAATTTAGAACTATGCCTGGGTTGGATAGTTCATCTCCACCAACTGCTTATCAGCTATTCAACAATTAACTGAGGAAGTGAAAAATGGTCAGCTGGAAGCAAAAGAAAAGAATCAAGGAATAAGAAAAAAGAGATATATAAACATGTAGAAGGAAATTCTGAGTGCCAAAGCATGATTCAGAAATATTACATATGATCTTCCCACAAACAGCCGTATGAAAAAGAAGATACCCATTAGGTTCAGAAAGTTGAATGTTAATAGGAAAATTGAGAAAGAAAGAGTAAAGCAGATCAAAGCAAAGTGGGTAGAAGTAGAATATTTGCAGGGAATGACTGGAACTGTGATCAGTTCAAGTATTGTAAAATTTGAATTGTAGCATTATTTTTCCAGAATTTACTTCTTAATTTACAAACAGCATATTTGTGAGAATTTTGCATTTCACTATGTACACATAAGCCCAGAGGTTGATTGTAACAAGTTACAAATAAAGCAGTGATCTCTACTGAACTATTTCTTTGGGTCACAAGGCTGTAACAAAGATACATCTGAAAAAGTTGCTTACTAGTTTAAGGAGTAACATAATTAGTGGAGTTACTGACTGAAAAGGGGAACAAAGTTACTTATGGGTTAAAATGTTATTTCTAGTCATTTTCAAATGTTACTTGAAAACAGCATTTGAGAGACATTTGGACATGAATGTTTCAAGTTTAATGTCATTCACTAATACATCCTGAAGGCTTTTTTCTTCGCCCAAATTAACAGAAAATAAAACTAATGGGTTGTGCAACAAATAATGTAATTTTTCCAACATCAACATGCTTAACAGAAAAGAGTTATTTTTGTACTAAAAGCAAGTAAAGTATATGTTATTGGAATTCCAAAATCCAAATCAGTCCACGTTTGTCCAGATGAGAGATTTGATAGTGGCACCTTTGCTTTTTGATGGTTCAGTGTACACAAACTTACTTTCTTGCACAACATTATTAAAATATTGAATAAAATTACCTTCTGGCTATGTGTATAGGTGTATATGGAACATACAACTGATTTCATGTCATACTTGGGTCACATTTTCAAGATATTATGTACATATATGCAAATACAGGTATTCCAAAATCTAAAAACTTCCAATATCTAAAACCCTTTTGGTCCCAAGTATTTTGGATAAGGGATACTCCATCTGTTCCAGGAATGAACAACTTTCTAAGTTCTGGATGCATCAAATGAAGACTATTTGAGTCTCAAGTTTTCAGCAACTCTAAATAGCTGCTGCAGATGTGATGGCATGTCACCTTAAAATGAAAAATAGAGCCTCCAAGAAAGCTGGATTAGTCTGTGAAGCCCTCTATGCTCAGGAAACTTTATTCCCACTATATGTATACATACAGTGATTTATTGGGTTGCTGTGAGTTTTCCAGGCTGTATGGCCATGTTCTAGAAGCATTTTCTCCTGAGGTTTCACCCACATCTATGACAGACATCCTCAGAGATCTGAGGTAGGTTGGAAACTTTGCAAGTGGGGTTTATATATCTGTGAAATATCCAAGGTGGGAGAAAGAACTCTTCTCTGTTTGAGGCCAGTGTAAATGTTGCAAACCTCACAACCTCTGAGGATGCCTACCATAGATGTGGGCAAAACATCAGGAAAAAATGCTTCTGGAACGTGGCCAAACAGCCTGGAAAACCCAGTGATTCCGGCCATGAAAGCCTTCAACAACACAATAATTATTGCTGTATTTTAGGCAAAACAAGACTTTGCAGTAATTACTAATAAAGCAAAAAATTACAATTTTAAGTAAAAATTATAGCCAGAATACCACAGAATAGAATGGCCATCATGGCCTCACTAAAATCAGACATTTGTAACCCAGTTTCTGTCCAAGTATTTTAAAGCTTTGTTGCGAAATATGCAAATACTATTTGGTAAGCAAACAACTATTGACTTAAAACAAGTAACATAATCATCTCTAAAGCATTCACCTATGATTTAATGGATTTTGGTAAATAAAAATGCACTAGGATTCAAATACTAAGATCCACATAATAGCATAATACTTCATTTAAAAAAACTCTATAGCATATTTCACAACTTTCCTTCCAGAATGACCAGTGAAGTCATAGAAAAATCTTACTCAAATATATTTTAAAACAACATTTTAAGTATCAGTGATTATATTCTACATTAGTAAAAAAAAAATGAGAAAAAAATCTAGCTGTAAAATTTTGGTTCAACCAAGATAGAATACTGGCCAGGACCCAAAAAAACCTATGCAAGCTCTTTGAGCTTAAAAGTTTCTGAGCTATTACCCTATATACCCATGTACAAGTTAGGAAATATTAGTCAAAAATCAATCCAAAAAACCTGAGTTGACATCTCCACAGGTGAATTAGCACTCTATATTAATTCTTATAAAAATATGTGAAATGCTGTCATAAGGAAGAGGGAGTAGACTTGTTTTCTGTTGCCCTTAAAACTAGGACTAGGAGCTATGGATTCAAATTACATGAAGAGATTCCACCTGAACATTAGGAAGAACTTCCTGACTGTACGAGCTGTTTAACAGGTGAACTCTCTGCCTCGGTGTGTGGTAGAAGCTCCTTCCTTGGAAACATTTAAGCACAGGCTAGATGGCAATCTGTCATGGGTGCTTTGTGCTTTTCCTGCATGGCAGGGAGTTGGACTAGATGGTCCATGTGGTCTCTTCCAACTCTATTATTCTATGATTCTATGTGACATTGGTGCTTTTCCTTCTCTATGGAATAACCCTTGACTCATCCACAGGTCATATAAAATCCATAGTTTTGGCCCCAAAACCTCCACTCAAATTATACATGAGGTCAACTTATACATATGTATATATGGTAATTCTCATCAACCCCCCATGGTTCAGGGACTATGCCCCCCCCCCATCAACTTGAACTCTGTATTAAGCTTGCAATATTTCAAAATGAGGAATGGAAAGAGAAGAGAAAGCACATTAGCATGTCTATACTGAGCTTTTCAGCTTGTCTAAGTGCTCTTTAGGTCCCAGCTATTCTGTTTATAGAAATATACAATTAACTACAGATAAAAAAAGAGATTTATTTTCACTGTATATTTCTGTTTAGAGTGGAAGTCCTATGTATCCTGTGCAGTTTATAGCTATATAAACATGATTGTCAAATATTTATTAAGAGGAGATAAAAAAGGCACATTTAGATTGTCATCAGTCACATCACATTCCTTTGAAAAACAGAATAATTTCTGAGCTTTGTAAACAACTTGCCATCACACTTTTAAAGTGAGGTTAGTGCTGACTCCATTATTGCTACATTCACAGTTTAGTAGAATTTTAGGTTAGGTATGAAAGTCATTTCTGAAGTATACAGGCCTTCATTTTTATCAGACTCATTTGAGGTTTACAAAAAAAACTGAATTGTGTATAATAAACCTGAATACAAAACTCAGCAATACTCTTATTCACAGCAGTGAAAATGTGTAGTAACAGAACTTTAAATATTATCTACACCATTTCATCCTGCAAAGAATTCTTCAAGATGAACAGCATCTTCTCACTGGGAGAAGGTTCTGGTCATATAAGTAGCAACTCCTTCAAGCAGTTGTTTTCATGAACATCCTTCTGGTGTCATATATTTTCCAGCATACATCCATGTTCAGAGGTTCTCAAATGATCACCTTCTTTCATATCTTCTATCAGCAATGTCCTGTATACTTTTTGTTAACTGCTTTATGAACACTTTGTATATTCTTCCACAGTAAGTATGCTGGGTCTTTTGAAGTTCCAGTTCGAGAGGCAGCAGCAAGGCATTCACCAAATCATCACCAAATGTATACTGGAGAAATGAATTAGAAATGCTGTATTAATAATTTCAAACTCACAACTCACTTTTTTTTCTGAAATTGCTTTCCAACAGAACTAAGTGCTGTTTTCTACATGTCCCTGTCTTCTAAATATGATTGATACATAGACAAGAACTAATAAAATGCAGACATTTTTTATGCAATGCAATAGATTAAGTCCCCTTCTGGCAAGTTTGCAATACATTTTGATTATTTAAAATATCCAATTACTGTCAACTGAAGTGAATGCAAAATGGTTTAGCCCAGAAGAAAAATTTCTTTAAAAACAAAATAAACATTTCAGCCAACGAATCTAGAAATGAATGTCACACACCTAAATTAAAGGGTTAATTTATGTGATCCCATGCCTGCCATGTTGAAACTTTTGCCTGAAATATGTACAATTAACTTAGCATGCCATTCATTAAAACAATATATAGTTCTTATTGAACTGAAACAGTACAAAAAGAATAATCTACACTACCATTAAAGATGGGACACTTTCATTAAACTGAATTATGAACAAGCACACACAGTATTTAATGGGAACCCAAAGTAAAAACAGTCATTACTTCAGAGTTACAGCTTATTTCACTATATTAAAAACCAAGTGATATGCAAACCCAACATTTCAAAATAAAATAATTTTGCTAATCTTGCTGGCTTTAGGTCAGTATTGATCTACATCTTTTCTGAGCATTATGCATAAACTAAAACTGATCATAAATAATGTTGAGAGATTTTCTTTTCTCACTATTTTTCTCGCAACACCCTGTGGAACAAAGAAATTGTAATTTTATGAGACTACATTTTCTTTTTGCATAGTGTATTCTAATGCCCTCAACAGTACTTTTCCTCATTTTTATATCAGTATGACAACATGCAACAAAGCACCAGTAAAATATACTATTGATCTTTGAAGGTTATATACAAGATAGGATGAACATTAAAATGAGGAACATTGCCTCATTTTACAGCTCTTCAGTGACTGAGTACGGTGAAATACTGATAAATAGTTTATTAGAAACCTTATTTGCCAAATAAGAAAGCCGAACAATTATTCCAAGCATGAAAAAGACTTTTGCATGTAATTATATATTATAAACTGCACAAATTAAAGTAACTAAATTATACAGACATGAGACAGGAAAAAAAGTTGGAAAGACATGAAATCTACGCATCACTTAACTAGCTTCAGAAATGAAAAAGAAACAAGAATTTTTGCAGCACGTTCAGTAACCCAACCTTTTCCTAATAGTGTAGACTGGGTTAAGATATGCATTTCTTATAGCACTATGTCACACTAAGTTCTAGAGCACTGGATCTCAACCTGTGGGTTCCCAGGTGTTTTGGCCTCCAACTCCCAGAAATCATAACCGCTGGTTAACTGGCTGGGATTTGTGGGAATTGTAAGTCAAAACACCTGGGGGTCCCAGAGGTTGAGAACCACTGTTCTAGAGCCTTATTTTGTGCACTAATGCATTTCATTCATTACACTGAAGTTTGAAATCAATTTAAGATCATCCAGAACTCTATCCATATGAAAATGTGCAAGCCTTCCATCACTCTGTCCAATGGAAACTGGTGAGCCTGAAAGTATCAGTGTTCACTCTAAATCTATGTATTGCAAATTATAACTCTGTGTTCTCACTTCCTTTTACAATTTATCTAGCATTTACAATTTTTCTAGCATTATAAACTTATAATGTTCCTGGACAATAAAATCTATAGTCTGTCCATTACAATTCACTATAAAATCTTTAGAATATGCACACTGCATATTAATATTGATAATTATGGATAAAATACGAGTAAAATTGCAAGGTGTACTCATATACACATGTTAATTTAGAACTAAAAGAGTCTTAGATAAAAAGGATGAAATTAAATCACAATCAATTATTTTTAAATCCCAAAATAGGAATCAGATGTTGTTGGACTACAAACTGCAGTATTCCTCGCCATTACATGTGTTAAATAGAACTTCCAGGAGTTACATTCTAAAAACATCTAAAGGTCACTTGATTTAAAACTTAGTCCTAGAATAATTAATAAAGTTGCTCATTTAAAAATGAAATTAGAAATTGAAAGGCTTACATGTTTTATTGCATCATATACAGCTCGAAAAGCTGGTTGCTTATCATCATGGTAAACACCTCTGTTTCCATGAAGGATGAATATGCCTTCCTTTTCAGCTTGCTGGCAATTGCTTCCATAAATACAGTGGTCAGGTCGATAGTTCCATTGACAAGGAAAAACAAAAAGGCTTTCTGTGCAGAAAAACAAAACACAAAATACATATAATACAGTCATGATAGACAAACTGAAGTGATTGCATGCTTCTTTTTGTGCTGCAGTATACAATATAGGAAAGATGGGAAACCTTTCTTGTCTACCCGTCAAATTCCGATCTGGAAGTTTGAAACAAGTGTGTTTCCACTACCTTTCCTCTTTAGACTGCGGGACGGAGTGTTATTTCCAATTGGTTAACTACCCTATATCCGTGTGGTATTTTTTAGTTACCAGGACTCCCAAACTGAGAATAACAGTCTAATTCAAATAGCATCAACATTTCACCTAAGCACTCTTAAGTACTGGACGTCCAGGCTAGTTTTACATGTGAGAATACACAGGCAACTTGATACTCTTTTAGGCTCTTTTATGAAAATAAACAAGCACAGCTACAAATGCATGCATGCACAAACTGCTTCCTTTGGAAAGGAACACAGATTTCTCATCATTTTAAAGACATAGATCATATATTTGGACTTTACTAATTATGTAAAGCATTACTTTTGCAATACATGTACAGCATTGATATGCATATTAACATCTTCATGAGATTCGTTCATATTCATTTTAGGAAACATTAAAGGACATCTATATTTTCTAACCTTACAAAGGAACTGAACCTTACCAAGCTTTCTGTATGTCAAGCACAGAGATATCTGTATCGTTATAGATATCAATGGGAACATAATATTCTTCCACAGGCATTTATCAGTATTTAGATAAGAAGTTTATGTTACTAAAGCCTGTTTAATATTGAGAGCTGATATTCTCTCTCCATCCTTCTTATCAGCATGGAATGCGCATTTATCATTTATAGGAACAACATCACCACAGCATAAAAGATGCTGTAGATAGTTAGGTTTACCCTTATTGGAGACTATGAAAAGTAAGCTATTTTTTTGTGTCCCTGGAGCCAGCTTTCATGCGATATTCAGCCATTATTGGTCTAATCAGAAGCCAATCTAATTATTATTTATAACATTATAATAATCTTCTTATTCACTAGGAAGAGAGATTTCACTGGTCATTTACATGAGGCCAGTCTTCTGGGAATGTCACTATCCACCAGTCCTCACCACCTGCCTGCCATCTTATGATCTCATCTGATTACAACAGTCATCAAAACATTACATCAGAAATAAGTAATCAATTTGTGCCATATTTTTTGATCATTTCATTATACTCTTGTCACTTCTTTATTATGTTCCTATTGGGCTATCTTCTTTTCTGCTTTGGCTTAGGTTGTTCTATGCTCAGAACTAAACAGCAAGCCTGCACTCTTAAAATTATTCTGTCTTGACACATAAGCATAGTATTTTAAAATCTAAACAGACACCCTTACTTCATTAATGTTTAAGCTTCGTGGGAACAAACATGACAAAATACGTACCTGAAGAGCACTCAGCTTATACCAGCAAAGAAAAGGGTAAAGGCAGCAACAATGTACAGCCCAACTCCATCAATGTTTATTCAGGAGTAAACCCAGGGCAACAGCATTCCAGACTACAAACTAGTTTTGAGAACACTGTAACAGCTTCCCAGGCCTTAAACAGACTTTTATTTTTAATCACTGGAGATAAGATTACTAATCCTTTGACTGGACCTCAACATGCTGCATTTATACTGACTGCTAGAGGTTCATCATTTCTAGTAAACCTGACATATTCATTAAACTAGCATTGTAATAATAATAAATACAGTGGAGCCTTAAAATTCACTCTTGTTTGGTTGCAGAACTCCCATGGATACCAAAATCCATGGAACCTCAAGTCCTGTTGTATACAAATTGTATAATAAAATGGTGCCCCTTAAATAAGGTAAAGGTAAAAGTTTCCCCTTGACATTAAGTTAAGGGGGGGGGGTGCTCATCTTCATTTCTAAGATGAAGAGCCGTAGACACCTCCAAGGTCATGTGGCTGGCATGACTGCATGCAGTGCCGTTACCTTCCCATCGGAGCAGTACCAATTGATCTACTTACTTTTGCATGTTTTCAAACTACTAGGTTGGCAGAAGCTCGGCCTAACAGTGGGAGCTCACCCTGCTCCCCGGATTCGAACCACCAACCTTTCAGTCTGCAAGTTCAGCAGCTCAGTGATTTAACCCACTGCACCACCAGGGACTCCTTACATAAAATGCCAAAATCAAATTTCCTTTTGGAGTTGTTGTTTTTTTTTTTTTTGAAGGGGAGACTGTATCATTTCAAGCTATGGATGTACAGGGCTGGCTGGACATCTTTCTCAAGCACACTACTGCATTCAAATTACAACTGGGAGCAGATTTGATGGTTCTGTTAAACTGATTAGCATACAAGTGTTCTTTAAGAGTATACAAAAACCTTAAATTTTCAAATAAAAGCATTCTGTGATTCAGTAACATTCTTCAAAAAACAACAACAACACACACACACACACACACAAAGGTACTTACCTGGATTATGAAAAAACATAATGTTCAGAAGATCTTGATCACCCCAAGTTATATTCAACTTATATTTTTTCAGCAGTGGCATGAGAATTTGTTCCCACCGTAACCGAACTGTTGTCATATCATTCTTCAATATGCCAAAACATGAAATTGATGTCAGATATATAAGACACTTTTAACACTAACCCCAAAGCCTTTCATTTTGGGAAGACAAGGTTTTAAAATCAAGATTGTACTATAACTTCAGAAAGGCTGGATAAGATTCAGAAGCTTAGATTTCTCCAAAAAAATAATATGAATGCCTAAAACATTTGCAGTTTAATGCAGCAAGTATGATGTTGTCTCAAACTGAGACCTAAAAACACAAATCAATCTAAAAAACAGTGCAACTCAAAAGTAGTGGCCCATGGACCAGTGCTGATTTCTGAGCCACTGACTGCTGGTTCATGGAAAAGTTTCCAGGAAAAAAAGGAAAAGAAAAGAAAAAAAGCTAGGGGGCACAAATATAATTCAACCCTCATATCCGTAGGTGATATATTTCACAGATCATGAAAATCACAAATAGTGAGCCTAGTGAACAAATGGCTTTTGGTGGACCTTTCATTAGGCATTGCTAGGTCCCCTCCAGCATGACTTTATTGTCAACATTTGATGGAAGCATAACAACGAAGCATGCTAAAGGACCTTGAAAATGCCTAGAAAGGATAAATTTTGTCACACAGGGCTAAATGAAACTGCGGATACTGGTTCCATGGATCATACTGGTCATACTGTATGATGCTAGTCTCTGGCACATTGGACAAAATAATGGCTGTTCCCCACATCAACAAGTTGAGGAAGTACTGCTTTATAAAATATACAAACAAGAAAAATACTTTGCAAGTCACAATTTAATTCCAAGCTACGAGAAACATAAGCTGATGGCTGGAAAGGGACTTTTTGGGGAGTAGTTATTTGTCTCAGGCAAAAAAGACTCAATACTGAGAGGAAGATATAAAATGACAAAATAATACAGAACAGCACAGGGCAAGTATGATGTCTCAACCTGAAAGCTAAAAACACTCTTTAGAAGAGTGCTACTCAAAGTGGTGGCCAATGGATGTTGCTGGACTACCACTCCCATCGGTCCCAGTACACAGCTTTAGCCCATCAACAATTCAGAAGATAAATTATTTCCAGGACTAACTACTGCAGGGCCCTTTAAGGGAAGCTGCTTTGTCTGAAATGCTGGCACAGCTAGTTAGTAGTGAGCTGCGTTAAATCACTACTGACCGAGAGGTCATGAGTTCCAAGACACCCCGGGTTAGAGTGAGCTCCCGACCATTAACAGTCTAGCTTGCTTTTGACCTATGCAGCCCAAAAGACAGTTGCATCTGTCAAGTAGAAAATTTAGGTACCGCTTTATGCGGGGAGGCTAATTTAACTAATTTACGACACCATAAAACCTTTCAGCAGCATGCGTAAGAATGAGGAAGTACTCCATCAAGGACTCAGTGTCACAAGTGGATGGTGAAGCGACAGATTCCTCTGTGGCTGGAATCGAGCATACCCTCATGAAGCCGGAAAGCTGGAATGTTAAATTGCATCTGTGTCTGTCTATATATGTTGTATGTCTAATGGCAATGAATGTTTGCCATGTATATATGCATTGTAATCTGCCCTGAGTCCCCTGCAGGGTGAGAAGGGCGGAATATAAATACTGTAAATAAATAAATAGATAAATAATAAGCACCTAGGCATGAATATGTACCATTTACTGGGGCTTTTTATGATCTTCAGGGTTCAATACATATACGGATTATCACCCTTAAAGCTCAGCATGGTTTTCTATCATGTTGTCCATATAATGCTAACACCATATGAATGCTGCATAGATGCATCACATCTATTTTATATGTTAAGTTGGTAGGGATGATGCCCACCCTCTGGAACTCTCTTCTAATTATGAGATGCCTCAGGCAATCTGTGATCACCTTTAGGAGGCAGTTAAAGACCTTCAGGCAAACTTGGAGGTTGCAAGGACTTCGTTATCTGTCTCAAACAGTATTTAGGGTGGTTTTTTAAAAAAATGTTTTTTTAAAAAAAAGCTTCCAGGAAGCTTTTTAAAGATACAGTTGCTTTTTTAAAGAAAAAAAGAGAACACATAAAGTATGTGCTGGAATTCACTGCCTTTTGCTTACATCTTGTGGAGCAAGCATTGAAAGACATATATAGGTTGCTTACCTGTAAACATAGTTTCCCAAGTGGTCACCTGCGAATTTACACATATGGTATAATCCGGCGCTCGCGCCGGCAGCAACGGAAGGTTCACGAGACTATTTTGACCGTTAGAGCAGCCCCCCCCCCCGCCCCTCTCCCTTCTATAAATAGCCGTCAAGAGGGGCTGCCGTCAGTTCTTCCGCCGCTAAATAGCTATATAGAAGAGCCGGCATGACGACTAAATGTAGAGGGGAGGATGGGCGGGTTGTGTAAATTCGCAGGTGACCACTTGGGAAACTATGTTTACAGGTAAGCAACCTATATTTTCCCCACGTGGTCACTGCGATTTACACATATGGTAGACTAGCGAGCTGCTACCCTGGATGGTGGGCGTCATGCCACAGCTGAAAAAAGCACCGCCCTGCCAAAGGCTGCATCTGTCTTTGACGCTACATCCAACTTGTAATGCTTCACAAAGGTAGTCGGTCTGGACCAGGTGGCTGCTCTGCAGATTGTCTCAAGTGGGATGCCCCGGAGAAACGCCGTTGAAGTGGCTACTGCTCTTGTAGAATGCGCCTTAACCTGTAAAGGTAAGTCTTTCCTACTCAACTGATATGCAAGTCTTATAGTAGAAACAATCCACGACGCAAACCTCTGCGAGGATACAGGAAAACCCATGGAGTCCTTCCTATACTTCAGGAATAACCTTGTGGATTTCCGGTAAGCCTTAGTTCTATCAATATAATAAACAAGAGCTCTACGTACATCCAACAAATGTAGCTTCTTCTCTAAAGAAGTAGTTGGATTTTGGAAAAAAGCTGGTAATATAATCTCCTGCGACGTATGGAATTTACTCGTCGCTTTCGGAAGGAAGGATATATCAGTTCTCAGAACTACTTTATCCTTATGAATCCTCATATAGGGTTCGTCACACCTCAGGGCACACAATTCCCCTGCTCTACGGGCTGAAGTAATAGCAACTAGAAATGCTGTTTTCCAGGATAAATATGCTATTTCCACCGTTGCTAACGGTTCAAATGGTGGCTTGGACAAAGCCGTAAGCACCAATTCCAAACTCCAAGACGGGGCAATAGGCGCCATCGGAGGTTTCAGATTCTTCAGTCCTCTCATAAAAAGGGATACCATCGGGTCACTAAAACACGATGGCATACCTACTTTACGCCTAAACCAAGAAAGTGCTGCCAAATAACATTTTAAAGAAGACCAGGACAAACCCAAATCAACTAAATGCGCCAAAAAATCTAATATTAATGAAGTTGGCGCTGTCAAGGGATCTACCCCTTTGACCTGAGTAAATTTTGAAAACTTAGACCATTTATAAATATAGGATTTTTTTGTTGATTGTCTCTGGGCAGCTTCTATAATAAGTCTGACTGGACTGGAAATATGCGCCATGCTGTTAATCTCAGCTTCTGGACATCCGGGTATAGAACCCGTTTGTCCTGTTCCGTCAACAAGTCCTCCCTCTGAGGTAACGGCTTGAATATTCTTCTGGACATTTCTAGAACTAGGGAAAACCATGGCTGTCTCGGCCACCACGGGGTGACTAGTATCCCTTGTGCTCGATCCTGGAGTAGCTTCGACACTACTCGATGTATAAGAGGAAACGGGGGAAACTCATACACGCTCCGCTCCCCCCAATGCAAAAGAAACGCGTCGCCTAGACAATTGGTTATCGGATTCCTGTAGTCCCTGGCGCAAAACAGCCGACACCGAGTGTTCTGGGCTGAGGCGAAGAGATCTATCTCCGGTTCTCCCCACGCCCGAAAAAGTAGGGTTGCAACCTGTCTGTTCAAAGTCCACTCGTGGTGAGTGAGAGGATTCCTGCTCAAAAAATCCGCTAACACATTTTGCTCTCCTGGTAGATGTATTGCCATGAGAAAAATGCCTTTGTGTATGCACCAATTCCACAGCCTGAGTGTTATCTCTAACAATCCTCTTGAGTGAGTTCCTCCCTGCTTGTTTATGTAAAACATTACTGTTGTATTGTCCGTCACCAGTTGGACCACCTGATTTCTTAGGACCGGTTCGAATGACTTTAGTGCCTTCTCTACCGCTAGTAACTCTAACAGATTTATGTGATATGTTGTCTCTACTGACGTCCATGACCCCTGGGCGGTCAATCCGTCTACATGCGCTCCCCACCCCGTGAGTGAGGAGTCTGTGGTCAGAATCTTGGAAGGCCTGGGCTGATGAAAAGGGAGGCCAGTACAGACATTGTGGCGCTCCGCCCACCACAACAGGTGGTTGCGTTGTTGCAAAGGCAAAGACAGGCGCATATTGGACTGGTGTAACAAAGGATCGAAGACCGACAGGAACCAAGACTGTAGAGGTCTGAAATGCAGCCTCGCATGAGGGGTCACCGCAGTTGTCGACGCCATGTGTCCTAACAATACTTGAATCTGCCTGGCCCTTACGACGTCCCTTCTTGATGCCTGTAATACAAGGTCTTGCAACTTCTTGAAGCGCTCCTCTGGCAGGTACGCTTTTTGATCCTCCGAATCCAACAGCGCTCCAATGAACTGCATCCTCCTTGAAGGGATGAGGTTGGACTTTTCCCAGTTCACTATCAGACCTAAGGACTGGAGAAGAGATAAAGTTTTGTCGATATGTGAAAGTAATAACTGTCTTGAATGTGCTACAAGCAACCAATCATCAATATACGGATACACCGTTATACCAGCTGTGCGGAGATATGCTGCCACTGTGGACATGCATTTAGTAAAGACCCTTGGTGCTGTCGCTAAACCAAATGGCAAGACGTTGAAATGGAAGGCCTGATTCCCGACCATAAAGGCTAAGAATCTACGATGATGCACATGAATGGAGACGTGAAAATAAGCATCTTTCAAATCTATCGATGCGAACCAAACGTTTTTATTTAACAAAGGAAGAATAGTTTTAAGTGAAACCATGCGAAATTTCTTAGTAATTATAAACTTGTTTACCCCTCGCAAATCTAGAATTGGGCGTAGGCCACCTCCTTTCTTAGAGATCAAAAAGTATCTTGAGAAATAACATTGTCCATACAGCGATGGTGGTATTGGACATATTGCCCCCTTAGAGAGTAATATCTTAATCTCATCCAAAAGTACAGGAGAAGGGGACGTAGCTCTAACATGCCCAACTGGTGGTAAACTACCAAACTCAATCAAATAACCATTTTTAACAATTTGAAGTACCCATGTGTCAGTAGTAATATCTGACCATGCATCATAAAAAGGAGCTAAACGTGCTCCAAAAAAAGGTAACTCGGAATTAACACTGTTTACGTTTCTATAAACATGAGGAGTACAATCTTGTAACGATGTGGAAGAAACTAGGTCAGGCGAGTCAGCTGTTCCGTCGCCTGTAGAGGAAATGTCAAAAACGCTGTTTGTTTCCACCTGGGCGACTGGGTTTACCCTGATAGGGCTGAAATCTATTCCTCGCCCCATAAGACTGCTTCCGTGAGAGATATGGCTTATTATTTTGAGGCGCACGTTGACGTTGTTGGCCTCCATAAAAATTACCAGCACTTCTTCTAAAATACGAAGGAGCTGTCTGCCATCGAGGTTTTTGTTGGGAATATCCCTGTCGAGGAAAACCATAAATCTGCATGGTTTTTTTCATCTCCTGGTTATGCTTTAGCTTTTCATCTGTCGTTGGATGAAAAAGGCCTTCCACGTGCAATGGTAAGTGTTCTGCAAGAGAACGTCCTTCTTCAGATAGAGCTGACGCACGAAGCCAAGCATGCCGCCTTATTGATGTCGCATTACTAAAGATCTTCCCTGCAGCTTCTGCCATGTGCTTGGCAAAGTCTTTTTGGAACTTTGCTAGCAGTATAGCCTCAGTGTAGAATGCCCTCGGCAGGCGTTGCTCGTTCTCCGGGATGTAATCCATAAATGGATGCACCTTATTCCATAGGAAAGTCTGGTAAGCGCTCATGTACGTGGCGTAATGAGCCATCCTAGTAAAAAGTCCAGCAGCTATGTGGGCCTTTTTTCCCATAGCATCTAATTTCTTTCCTTCTTTATCTGAAGGAGTGGGGTTTAATTTCTTGCCTTTTTGTCCATGAGCCACCTCAGCTATGACAGTGTCTGGTGCTGGGGGTCTTGCTATCCAATTCGCAGAGGATACATCAATCCTATAAAGATTATCCACTCTTCTCGGAATTGCAGGTGTCAAAGAAGGAGAGCCTTCAATTGTTTTAGCCAATTTCAACAAATAAGGCAATGCTGGAAGAGCAGCTGAGGTATTGGATTCTTGCTGTTCCGCAGGAAACATAGGATCTTCCACAGACTCCGGCTGTTTAGGAGTTGGAAGGTCAAGCGCACGGATCATTCTAGTTATCAATGATGCAAATTTAGAGTAGTCTTCATTATTGGGATCCTGCTCTGCTTCTCTATCAATTTCTTGAATAATCATTTCCTCATCAGATGTTTGGGATTCATCTATGAGTGGAATCTCAGCATGTTGGACTGGTGATAACTGGTCCTGTGATTCTATTGATTCCTGGACTTGAGTATGTGCTCTCTTTCTTTTGCCTGAATGAGCCTTTATTCCTTGTACAGAGTCACTGTTTGTAGTGTTGCTAGTATTAGTACTGGTAGAGGGCCATTGCATAGGCACTGGCGCTCCATAGCAAAACATCTGGCCGTTTGGAGTCATTTGCCAGAAACCTCCTTGGTTCATAAAAGGAAGGGGGAGTGGATACTGCCCCATTTGGCTCATGTTCCCTTGAGTCATATACATAGGAGGGCATTGGCCTTGTCCTCCTTGGGCCATACCTCCCTGATTCATGTATTGAAAGGGAGGAGGTTGGCACTGAACTCCTTGACTCATGCCTCCATAAGGCATAAAAGGTGGTGGAGGTTGGAATTGGCCTCCTTGATTAGTGGCCCCTTGGCGTTGGCTCCCTTGACCCTCTAAAGGAGACGGAGGTAAGCGCTGTTGATCCTGCCGTCTCGAAACATGCGAAGCGTCCTTTTTGCTCCCTTGAGCTCTCCCTTCCCCGCTTCGCTTCCTCAAGGGGGAGGAGTTAGGGGTGGAGTCTGAGGCGGAGCCTGCGTGCTTCGACGCCGAGCGGCTTCGACGCCGGCGTCCCCCGCTCTCCGCCATCTTTCTCGAAGGCGCTCGACCCCGAGCGCGTCCTGGACTCCCATCCAAGAGCCTTACTGGCGAAGGCGCTCCCGATACCGATCCCACGGTATCGGGAATCTGGAGCGGTGGGGATACAGAAGCTTCTGCCGTAGCGTCTGTGGCTACCAGACTTCTCGAGGGTGCCTCAACAGGTAAATGAGGAGCCGAACCCTCAGCTTTCAATACAGAGTCTTCCTCGAAAGCCGAAAGCGCCATTTTATTTGGCGTTTGGCTTTGCAAGCCATTTTCTCCCTCCTTAGAGGGGTTTTGCGGCTTAATTTTCTTCAGAGTGTTTTGAGCCGCTTCACCTCTCTCTGAGGGCTTAATTGGCTTCATCTTCTTAACTTTAATTACTTTCTTTTTAACAAGTAGTGGATCAATCTTCTCAGGAATTTCCTCCATTGTATTTGGAGGAAGAAGAGCTTGCTCATAAAGCGCCGCTTTTAAACGAAGTTCTCTATTCTTCCTCGTTTGCGGCGTGAAAGCTTTACAGATGTCACATGCTTGGGAGAGATGCTCTTCTCCCAAGCAAACAAGACAATTAATGTGTGCATCGTTATCCGGATATTTATTCGGACACGATACACATTTCTTAAAAGAAGTGGTCATTATTCGTAGTTTAAAAGTCTCTGTCTCTTTTCCGTTACTGCCTTTTTAGCGCGGATTTAAAGAACTGACGGCAGCCCCTCTTGACGGCTATTTATAGAAGGGAGAGGGGCGGGGGGGGGGCTGCTCTAACGGTCAAAATAGTCTCGTGAACCTTCCGTTGCTGCCGGCGCGAGCGCCGGATTATACCATATGTGTAAATCGCAGTGACCACGTGGGGAAACTCCATTTACACAAGTTTTGAAAATTAGCTTTGAATATTGGAATAAATATGTTCAAGTGAACATGAGCTTATTCCTTCTTTCCATTTTCTGTGTAATCTTACAGAAACAGATGCTAACCAATGGCTAGATAGCAGCTATTTCTTTCTTCGAGGTTTAAGAGGTCTTCACTACAAACACAGAATGTTTGGCTGAAAATGCTTATACGGGTGGCCTTTTCATTTCACTGTCATTTTCTTATGTGTGTGCATGTGTATATATGTGTGTTTCTTGTTTGGACCTGGCAAAGTGTACAATCGGAAGGCAAAAATAACATCTTCTTGGTGAACAAAGGCGAAATTCTACAAAACACCACACCTGTATTTTCAAATTACGGGGACGATTTCTTAAGAATGAAAAAGCAAATGAAACCCCACTCCTTACAATTATGAGTTCAGTGTGGGAAGAACGACTGCTTAAACTATTTATCCCCCACTGATAACATGATTTAAAATCTCCCCAAAACACACACAGGCACATACACATACATAACAGACACAAAAGCAGAGAGTTGTGCTTTCTTTCAACAAAACTGAAATCTTATTAGCTGGTCTTGTAGCACCACCTTCTGGTGAGCAAAGAATCCACACTAATCTCAAATAATATAACCTACTGTATCTATTATATATTATTCATTCAGCATAATGTTACCTAGTAAGATTGAAATACTCTCTTTTCTTTAACAATGACATGTGAACAAATACAGAGAATCCACAATGAACTGAATCCACAATGAAAAGAAAATTCCTAGCAGACCTAAGATCATCAGGAAGCCAGGAAAAGTGGAAGCAGTAAGAGAATCCACTCAGAAATTGCCAAGGCTCATAAAAATGCCATGGTCATGGGGATATCACATCAGAGTTTGAGAAAAATTCTGCATGCCAATTTAAAATGGTATCTTTACAAAATGAAGTGTCTAATATGCTTTTTTAAAACCTATTAAAAACAAAACTGTTTTATGTGTTGTTGTTCATTCGTTCAGTAGTCTCCGACTCTTCGTGACCTCACTTCGTTTTCATGTACTTTTCAGAAATATACACATTTTTGTAGATAGCTTCATTCATTTTTATACCTTGTACTATAAGAAAGAAACATTATGGAAAATCAGAAAGAGAAAATTATGAGTGAGCAAAAAAGGACAAAGGGAACGGACAAGAAAATCTGGTATGGTTGCATTATCTGGGCAGAGGCCGCAAGGGGGCGCTAGACAGAGAAGAAAATCCATGAAGGAGGGGGGGAAGTTGAAGGAAGAAAACCATTTCCCCCTGTTTTCCTGTTATCCCCCCCAATAATAATAATAATAATAATAATTTGTTTGTATTCTGCCCTAGCTCCCTGAGGGAACTCAGGGTGGATTCCAGGATACATAACACAAAGCCAAACATTCAATGCCTAGAAACAACGAAGCACAGATAAAGGTAAAGGCTTCACCATCATGTCGTTATCATGGAAACAACTCTTGTTCATGATATGGGAAGTGGGGAGGGGGAATAACCAGCGAAAATGGGGGAAATGATTTTCCTCCTTCAACTACCCCCTCCAATAAAATGTACTATCCTTCTCTCTCTCTCTAGTGCCCCCTTGTGGTCTCAGTCAGGATAATGCAACAGTACCGAAAATCTCTTTCCCCCTCTATAAATATGAGGTCACAGTGAAATAAATCAAGGGAAGAATAAGCACACATTTTATCCAAAAGATTAATACCTTGAAATATTTTCTTCTTATGCGAGTCATATTCATTAACATTACTCCAGAATTTATTCCAGTCTTGCCATAATACGGATGTCTAGCAAAGCGATTATACCACCCAATACGAGGTTCTTCATGTTCAGGTGCCATTGCAGCAATTTGAGAAGAATTCAGTTTTTTCAGGAAGGACCAAATATCATCAACAGGCCTCAAGAACAAAATGTCTGTGTCAACATACAGTAGAGAGTCCACGTCACTCAGAATTAGCTATAAAGGGAAAGAGGTTTTAGAAACAGTATTTTAGAGCAAGCATTAATTTGACTAACAAGCTATTGTCATAAGTACAATATCCATTTGCACTGTTTGTTCCAGTATATAAATATGTAGGCAAACATTCTTTTATTCCTTATTGTTTATATTTATGAATTGATTGTGCAACATAAAAATAGTAACAACCTGCATGAGTTTATGATGATTCACCATGCTGTAAAACTTTCCCCAGAACTAAAAACAAGATAATTTGATGTCATTTTCCTAATTTAGTCATATTATACTGTTAGAGATTTTATTAGACTTCTGTTTTATTGTTTTTAATTTTGGAAGCTGCTAAGAACTCTGGGAAGAAATAGAACAGTATTAATTTTTAAGTAAGTCGGTATATATTTTGTGTTTTCCATGAACCACCAAGTTTAATTTAGTCTCTTTTGGGAATCATGAGAAAGCATAAATATAAAGTGGAAAAATTGTATTTCACAGTTATTTTTGTTAGCTCCCTGCATCTGCCTCTTCATCTTACCACCGAAAATCACATATCTATGTACATAATGGGATCATCATAAATGGACAGATAACTCAAAGAAACATACACATGTTTTACAGCACATGAGGCACAGCCCCTGCTTTCTTCAAACGATTAAAAATGTTCCCAATTTCAACTGATAGGAAGAAATGTGCAATATCTTACTGAAGACCAACATTGACTTTGGCTGCTATGTCTTCTTAGCCAAGTCAAGCAACACTTTCCTCCCGTTAATAGAAATGAAATAACTCTCAAATTGCTGCATTTGGAAATAAAATTCTTTAACTATACAGGTTGAGAGGGTTAAAAAAACCGCAAATTGTGCATGACAACCATTACCACTTACTGGGAGAAAAAGCCTTTGAGAAGCACAAGGCTTGAACAGTTTCTTCCATTCTGCTGCATTCTCAGTTGGAAATGAGATGGGGTATAAAGTATAATTAAATTTTTCTTGATATGCCAAATTATCAAGCTGAAAAACAACAAGGTTGGCATTTTATTACACACAAGACCAAAAATATCCAACTAAGCAGTCACTAAGTCCCTACATACCTACGTCTTGCTTTGGCTATAAAACAGGAAAGTTTTGAAAGCTGTAACATTAACTATATATCTGTTAAAGCAAAACGTAATACTTTAAAATAAGACAGTTTATTGATTTATTCATTTAATGTATCTCCTGCCTTTCTCTCAGCACATAATTCAGGTAAAATAAAATTCAGCCAGAAATTTATTCTGAATTTTAAAATGGTTATTAAAAGTAATAATAATAATAATAATAATAATAACAACAACAACAACAATAACAACAACAACAACTTTATTTCTAGACCACCCTATCTCCCCAAGGGGACTCAGGGTGGTTTACACACAGAAAGGCAAGCACTCAATGCCTAAACAGCTATTCTGTTCTCTATAAACAATTATGTTAGCTGAATACTTACTGTTTCTCTGAAGTCATGATGTAATTGGTCCTCTGCAAAAATATGGAACTGTAGAGGTTTGATGCTGAAGATAATGGCTGATCTCAACATAGTAATAGTCTCCTCCAACCTCTCACCACAAGCAACCACTGCCAAATGCATTGTCTCAGATGGGTGAGGTTTCGAGATATCATATCTAGTACAAAGGATACAAATAGTACTACTTTCCAAAGAGACAATGCTAAATGTAAAGGCTTTTACATCATATTTAAGGGAAAGATAATTTATACATATTATATGTGTGTCACTTTACAAACTCTTCAAATTAAAGGAAATTCAGGGATGGTACATGGCAACTACTGAGAGAAATAAAAAAAGGAAAAATGTTTTCAACTTGTATCAAGGAAAGTCTTTTAAAAACTTTGTTGAAAATCAAAGCACACCGTAAAGTGAAAATAACCTTAATTTCTAGTTTATACACCCATGCCTTGTAGAATTATCTTTCTTTTTCAAAGAACATGAACTAAACTGCCTAAAATTGCAACTCTTGTTTTCTAAATTATACCTAAATATTTCTTCTCAGAGCCAATGTGATTTTCATACCCTACTTAAAACTTCATTTTTTACTGTTAAAACAGTTATATCCTTTTTTGTATCCAGAAAATTCATCTGTCATTAAAGGAATTCAACATATAAAATCTGTATGAACAGGCTATTTATTTATTTATCATGTCAGAAGCAAATTAAGGGTATAGTTTAATGCATTTAAAAACACAAAGTGAAAAACTTGGCATTATACGACATGTCCTTTGACCAGAAGCTAGCACTTTAAGCCCCTCTGGTGTTGCTATATTAAGGTCCTCCATTGTGCATATGGCAGGAATCAGACTACATTGTAGTAGGTGATCTGTGGTTTACCTCAGGGGAGCGTGCTTGCTCCATCAATATTTAACATTTACACAAATGATCAGCCACTGCCAAAGGGGATAGAGAGTTTCATCTATGCTGAAGATCATGCCATCACCGCCCAAGCTTTGAAATGGTTGATCAGAAGCTCTCCAAAGCTTTAGGTGTTCTTACTGCCAATTTCAGGGAAAACCAGCTGATTCCTAGTCCATCTCAAACACAGATGTGTTCTTTTCAACTTAAGAACAGACAAGCATCTTGAACTCTGAGGATTATCTGGAAAGGAATCCCACGGGAACACTGCAGCACACCGAGATACCTGCTCTGACTTACAAGAAGCACTGCCTGACTATCAAGCAAAAAGTGGGTGCTAGAAATAATATCATATGAAGGTAACTGGCACAATCTGGAGATCACAAGCAGACACAGTGAAGACATCTGTCCTGGCACTTTGCTGCTCTGCTGCTGAATACACATACCCAGTGTGGAACACATCTCACCATGTTAAAAACAGTGGATATGGGTCTTAATGAGACATGCCACATTATCACAGGATGTCTATGCCCCACGTCACTGGAGAAACTATACTGTTTAGCCGGTACTGCACCACCTGACATCTGCCAGGAAGTAGCAGCCAATAATGAAAGCTGTGACATCTTCAATCCATCCCCTGTTCGGATATCAACCAGTACGCCAATGCCTTAAATCAAGAAATAGCTTTCTAAGATCTACAGAGATACTCGCTGGAACACCTCAGCAAGCAAGAGTCCAAAAGTGGCAGGCTAAAACCTGGAACCTCAACCAATGGCTGATTCCAAATGAGACTCCATCCTGGGCATACAGATGACTGGGCAACTTGGAAGGCACTGAACAGACTGTGCTCTGGCACCACAAGATGCAGAGCCAACCTTAAGAAAGGGGGCCACAAAGTGGAGTCCACAACAGAGTATGAACATTTCTTTGATATGAGTGGTTTTACTTTTTACACACATGGAGTAAAGAATTCTGGAGGCAATTGTTGTTTATTGTGCCTCTTCTATGCAGCCATGCACAACTATAAAAGAAATATCTAAAGCACAATTCAATTCCTTCCCAGCTCAAACATTCATTGTATTGTTTACTGCAGACACAGAGATGCAACCCAACACCAGAAGTCTCTTTCTCCACACATCCTTCACTACTCTGCAGCTAAAACATTAAGCTGAACAGAAAACATGGAGGAGAGGGAAGGTGACTGTTTAAAAACTTTGTAAATTGGAGCTTCACTGTTAAAATATTTTGTCAGAGAAAAGGGGAGAGCAGATAAACTACCAGGTGGATGACATTGAGCTCAAATAGAAAAATCAAAGAAAAAGTAGACACTTGTGAAAAAAAGAAAAAAATAACCCCCAAGATGTATTATGGAAGAAGTAATCAAGTGATCTGCAAAACAACTCTAAGTTTTTTATCTACTTAGCATTTTGGTTGCTTCAGTTCAGTATTCTTCTTATGACAACAAATGAACCTATCTACTATTTTCATGTACCAGATTTTCAATTAAAAATTTAATTTCCAGGAACACATTTACTTCATTAACTAAGCTATACCTGCAGCAGGAAAAGCCAGGAAGGAGAAATGCATCCCATAACTGCTTAATTTAAACATCAGGATGCATTATAGCTGTATTGGAATTAAAACAATGAGAAAAAGCAAACTCTGAATTTGGAGTTTAACTTGTTTAAACACCCATTTTTTTGTTTTCGGATAACAGGAATCTTAAGAACTATCCAGTAATGAGATTTCTATGAGGAAATGAACCGCAGTATTAAGAGCACTCAGGAGCAGGACTGTCTCTCTTTAATTTTGTCAGGAAATTCTGGATTCTGTTCTCTTCTGCCTTTCTTGCTACTGCCAGCAAAAACCTGGCTATGTTGTTTACCAAATTATCTCTTCATGGCCAGAATAGGATGTTTCTACTTTAGAAAAGAAAACCAGGAAAGCTCTTTAATGCATCAGATAAATGACTAATGGGGCATCAAGGAAAGAGGAGTGAAGGAGGATCCTTTTGTGGCTTTGGCTCTCTATCTACCCCACAACAGGCCAAAACATGTGAAATAAATAAATATTTTGAGCTCTCGCTACAATGTTTAGCAAAAGTGGGATACAAATATAGTACAACCCCATGTCCATGGTTCTGATATCCATGGTTTCACTTACCCAAGCTCCAAAAATATTTTTCTTCTTCTAGAAATGTTTGTGGGCCTCTCTAGTACAACTCTATGGTATGTTTCTGCCCAAATTATAGTAAAAACATAGGGTTCATTATTATCCAGTTTCAGGTATGCATGTGGAGTCTTTGAATGTATCTCGCCAAAACATTAGGGGTTGTATTGTGTTAAGGATGTCCTTCAAAAAAATTACTGTATTACTCTCCTCCCATTTCTGTTACATCCAGTGTATTGTACAACAGCACCACCACTCAGTAACATGGGCCCCCTCTACACTGCCATATAACCTAGATTATCAAAGCCGATGATCCACATTATCTGCTTTGAACTGGATTATTTGAGTCTGCCATATAATCCAGTTCAAAGCAGATAATCTGGATTTTATATGGAAGTTAAAGGCCATGTATTTATCATGTATGCTGCTAAATAAACAGGTATGATGAATCGCCTGTGCTCTGCCTCTTCATAAGAAAGTGGTGGCATCAGTAGCTTTCCTTTGGAGCATGTGCATGTTATGTGTACTTTTAGATGTCAATCTGATTGCCATAGTAGTCACCTGAATAATATCACATTTTATGTAAATTCTAGTGTTTTAGGTTTCTAAACACCCCTTCCCTGGACACCAGGATTGCCTGCAGACTGCTTCATACCAAAGCAGTCTGCAGGCAAATACTGTCCAACTGGATCACGTCTCTATCAAACATATTGGCCAATTCAGACAATCATCTTTCACCTGAATAACCTGATAATCCCATAAGGATTCTGCACCCATGCACTCTCTTCAGGTTGAGCCCTTCCTTTTTTTACTTCTTGTCATAGAGCAATACACCAGGAACCCTTCAAGTAACCCTTTTTTAATTGCACCCTAACTGGAAATTCATGATCACTAAGCTTGGAACAGTGAATCTTTGTCCTTGACATGCAAGTCCTTCCTTTACTCCATAAACCACTTCCTCTCCACATCAATCTTCTGCTCAAACCTCTAAGCTACACACAAGAAGTTTCCATTAATTATTTTAATGAAAACAACTGTGCCTTTACTGCTGAGCACTCTTCCCACTTGCTTGAAATTATAACCAATGTATACCTAAAGAGAAAAGCAAAAACAAAAAACAAAAAAAAACCTGGCAATACAATTTTATAGTTCACATGGAATGAAAGACCAAAGATTTTGGGTATTTTATTCCATGTTTTTTCTGATAAAGTAAATGTTCAATCTAATTGCGGATTACTACATTTTATTTACTTTAGCAACTAGTCAGTATGCACATGTGATCAGGAAATACCGTATATACTCGTGTATAAGTTGAGGACAGGTCTGGGGGCCAACATTATGGATTTTAAATATGATCTGAGGATAAATCGGGGATAATTCCATGGAGAAGAGAAAGCACCAATGGTGCCTTCAAAGGAGCAGCCCCATTTGGCAGCTGCCACTGTTTTCCTGTCCAGGCATTCAAAATGTCCAGAAGCAGAACCACAGTGGAGCCTAGAGGGGGGGTCAAGGCTTCTTTTGAAATTCTTTCTGGATAGGCTAAGCTCTCAGCTTTTGCCTCATAGAATCATAGAGTTGGAAAAGATCTTGTGGGCCATCCAGTTCAACCCCATGCCAAGAAGCAGGAAAATCACATTCAAAGCACCCCCGACAGATGGCCATCCAGCCTCTGTCCAAAAGCCTCCAAAGAAGGAGCCTCCACCACACTCCAGGGCAGAAAGTTCCACTGCTGAACAGCTCTCACAGTTAGGAAGTTCTTCCTAGTATTCAAGTGGAATCTCATTTCCTGTAGTTTGAAGCCACTGTTCCATGCCCTAGACTCCAGGGTAGCAGAAAACAAGCTTGCTGCCTCCTCTCTATGACTTCCCCTCATATATTTATGCATGGCTGTCATGTCTCCTCTCATTCTTCTTTCCTGCAGGCTAAACATGCCCAGCTTTTTAAGCTGCTCCTCATAGGGCTTGTTGGCCCTTGATCATTTTAGTCAATCTCCTCTGGACACATTCCAGCTTGTCTACATCTCCCTTTAATTGCGGTGCCCAGAATTGGATACAGTATTCCAGGTATGGTCTGACCAAGGCAGAATAGAGGGATGGCCTCTATACACAGAGATGGAAGTGGCTGATTTTTAATAAGATATAATGTACAGTACTAACTCATTTTTAATAAGATATAAGGTATAGTACTCTCACAATAAGCTGACCCAGGTTTCTGAGGTTGATTTTTGACTAAAATTTCTAGACTTATACATGAGTAATTGAGTATATAGGGTATGTAATGCATTTCAAAACGGGGACCTTTTTTTTTATAAATGAGAGAGCCCAGTAGGATTAAGCAAAATGAGTAGCAAGGACCCACCTCTCAAATTAATAGTTTCTTCAAACTGTAAAAAAATTCAGATGCTTTTTAACATATCCAAAAAAGTTTCTTAAGCAGTTAAGACTGTCAAAGCCTACCTAAGAGCAGCTTCCCAAAAGCAGTTCTTTCCACAAACATCAGAGGGCAGCATCCAATAGGAATTCCAGTAAGACATAGACACATTCTTACACCTAACAGGATGAAATAGAAACAATCCTGTATGAATGTTATTTGTTTTATTTAGAGGTTGTAACTGAGGACTTCTGTTTGTGCATAAAAAGTTATCCTGTTACTTAATACTATCTGCGCCTGATGGCAGGTCTTCATACATTGTGATAACTCTGTATCATATCAGGACAAATCGTAAGCATAAACGTCCAGTACAGACACACTGAGATGTGGTACAAGGATAATGCTATGAAAAAATATTCAGAAGTAAATCATAAAAATGCTACATAAAGCTTTTCAATGCTCACTTCTATATATGTGTGCACAGGGTGAGAAACTTACCCTATATTTAATCATCATGTATACATCTATATATTTTAGTTTTTTAAAAAATCTATATAAAAACCCTGGGTTGACTTACTCTGGGTCAAAACACTTTGAGAGAGAGAGAATCGTTGCTTTCTCTGAGTAGAGTAGCAAAAGGCAAGGGAACCTAAAAGAAGAACTGACTCCCTCTAGTCTCTTTGCTGCAGTGCTGCTTCTTGTCTCTTTGAATGCCTGGCTGGGAAAAAAGTGGAGGTGACACTAGTGCTTTCCCTTCTCTGCAAAATGACACTGAACCCACCTCCATGGAATATATCAAAATCCATAATCTTAGCTCTCAAACCTATCTTCAATTTCTACATGAGTATATACAATAATACTGGGAGGTTTTTTAAACAAAACAAAATTTGGGACTTTTGTGTGTTTTTGATTTGTCTTTGCAGTGCGAGCTATTTAGTAGTAAAGGACATGATAGCAAATAATTCTACTGGAAACACTGGGTCTCAAAAGATTAAGAACTTTTGAGATCAACTACCTCATTTAATTGGGTTGAATATTTTGTTATTTGAATGACATCTCCATTCAATCATTTACCTGTGTCTGCCAAAGAACAAAATGAGGAGCTTTTGTGAATAAACTTGAGGATGTTAAACTAAAAGTTTTTAAAAGGAAATCCTCTAAAAGAAATGGAAGTATCGCAATATTTGATTGTAGTGACGCCTAACCTATATGCTCATTGAGAGACAACTAAAAAAGTATGAAGAGGCACAATGGTTTTAAATTGGTCGGGGGCCAGGTAAGACTGCATATTATACACAGAATGTATAATCTGAAAAACAGGACTAGATTTAGAAGAAAGTGTGAAAGCTAAGGCTCCTTTCTACACTATTATTTAATCCAGATTATTAAATCAGATAATCTTGATTTTATATGGCAGTGTAGAAGGGGCCTATATCAACAATTTGAAGAATACATCTGACACCAAATTAATAGTAGAAAATGGCAAAGAATCAGCATAACCATTGATGAAAGTTAACAGAAAATGTGCAAATGCAGGGTTACAACTGCAGTTTAAAGAAAAAACCACCGGTGATTACATATCATTAAACTGAGTGATGAAAACATCCACTGTTAAAAATATTCGGTTGGTTATCAAAATTGAGATTGTAGTCAAGAAATCAGAAGAAAACTAAGATTCTGAAGGAATAAGGCAAGAACCCCAAGTGTAAAGATATATAATTGAACATGGAAGTTGAATATAATTGTACAATAGTTTTCCACTTTTTATATGTACAAGTGAACAATGGACCATGAAGCTAAAAAAACAATAGTCTCACGTGAAACATGCTGCTGGAGGTGAGTTCTATGAGTGCCATTTGATTGTAGCGACACCTAACCTATATTCTCAATGGGAGGCTACTACTAAATGGGTCCAAGAACAAAAAGCAAATAAATAAAAAGCAAATAAATGGATCCAAGCACAAATAAGGCCCAATTTTAGAAGTCAACATAACAAAACTAAGGCTATCATATTTTGGACATGTCATGAGACAATGGCCCCTTCCACGCAGCTGAATAAAATCCCACATTTTCTGCTTTGAACTGGGTTATATGGCAGCATGGACTTAGATAACCCAGTTCAAAGCAAATATTGTGGGATTTCCTGCCTTGATATTCTGGGTTATATGGCTGTGTGGAAGGGCCCAACATAATTCAATGGAAAGAAGAATATGGTTTGGTAAAACTAAAACAGTAGAAAAAGAAGATAGACACAAGCAAGTAACCATGGCCCTGAGTCTACAAGATTTGAGCAAGACAGTTTGAACAAAGTTATTTGAAAAAGAAAAGTCTGTATTTCCTTAAGTCATCATTGTGGATATCTTATTGGCCAGATTTCAGTTCTTTATAAGATGAAACCAATTGTAATATACTTGTTTAGACATGACAGTTCTACTACTGCAAAACTGCTTTACCTCCACTAAACAGTTAATTACAAAGCTGCAAGCCTCATCACGAAATAGTGCTGAGTTTCAAAAAGTATCTAATCCTTGCTGTTCCCATAATTTAACTAAACTAACAGAGAGAGACAAATCTGCAATTGCACATTGAATTGCTTTCATCGCATTAAGACATTACGCTCATGACACAACTGAAGTGTATTACACCGATACTCCCTTTAATAAAAGAATTTGCAACACCTGCATTGGTAACAGGATTGCACCAGAACTGATACAACATCTCATTTCCAGTCTTATGAGCTGCCAAACCCAAAGGCCAGCTCATTAAATCAAACCTTTAAGATGAAAAATAACAAACTTTCCTGTTTAAATCTAATCTCCACCTCTTTTAATTATAGACTTCGAACAAGCCACAATGAGGATCCTTTAAATAGACCATATGAAGAGGAAGAAGTTTGCTTCGTGTCTTTTCTAGAGCATACTACATTGAGTTAGAATAACCTCAGGCAAATTTCCTGCTTTTATGGTAATGTTTCTGTAAGGGTCTGGGTCTTTCCTGACAGAAGAACTAGAACAGAAACCAGAATACTGCATCATAGCTTCCATCTTATTAGTAAGAAGCGACTGAAAAGATTTGTATAGGTATGACTTGAGATTTCACTGTACAAATTTAATCCCGGTCTTCATCTTGCTTAGAGATGTTGAATTATCAATTATCTTAAGATACAAAATCAGTTTAATGCATCATGATGCTCAGTTTCCAATGTATAGGAAAACAGGAACTGACCCTATCTATCTATCTATCTATCTATCTATCTATCTATCTATCTATCTATCTATTAGGGCTGGGCGGTTTCGTTCGTTAATTTCGTAATTCGTTAATAATTCGTTATTTTTTGGGTAAACGAAGCGATAACAAACCATCCAGGAGCAACTAAAAAACGAAACGAATTTTTAAAGCTATTTCGTAATTGTTTTGTTATTGTTTCGTTATTATTTCCGTATGTGTCTGGTGCAAGTTTTATAGTTGTTTCCCTCCCCTCTCCCTGGTTGCAAGCGGTCGGCATTTACCCCACTTCCGGGTCCCTGGCCTCTGCTTAAGTGGATCAAATTCTCCTCTCCTCCTGTCGTCACCTCACCTCGTTCCTCACTCTGGCCTGCGTGCATTGGGCAAAGAGACACAGCAGTGCAGCACTCAGAGACCTGCCTGTTGCCTGCCTAACCTCTTTCCTTCTCCAGGTTAAAACTATTATATTAATTATATTATTTTTTATTATTATTATTATTAAGAATGGATGGCCATCTTTCAGTACTGCTTTCACTGTCCCTTACATTCACGAAGGCAGAAAGTGGTTTGTTATTATTATTATTATTATTATTATTGAGAAGAAGCATTGTCAAACCAGAATAGAGATCTCACCCACCCTCCTCTCTCTCTCCTTCCCCCCCTTTCCTTCTCCAGGTTAAAACTATTATATTAATTATATTTATTATTATTATTATTATTATTATTATTATTATTATTATTAAGAATGGATGGCCATCTTTCAGTACTGCTTTCACTGTCCCTTACATTCACGAAGGCAGAAAGTGGTTTGTTTCACCCCTCCTCTCTCTCTCTTTCCCCCCTCTTTCCTTCTCCGAGGTTAAAACTATTATTTAAAACTATTATTTTCACGTCGCGCAACCGCGTCCGCCATTTTAACGAATTGATTCGTTAATATTAACGAAATTTCGTAAATACCGAACTTTTTTAAGGGAAAATTTTGTAATTATTTTAAATATCGAAACAAAAAACCCCCCCAAATACAAATCGATTTTAGAAACAAATTTTTCCGTTGTTACCCAAGCCTACTATCTATCTATCTATCTATCTATCTATCTATCTATCTATCTATCTATCATCTATCTATTTACTATATTTATATACTGCCTTTCTCACCCCAGGGGGGCCTCAAGGAGTTCTGCAACATATCAGTGGTGAAAATTCAATGCCATATACATGTAGAAAGAAAAAAATGTAATAACTAAGTGCTAACATATAACTATAAATTAAAATAATTAAAACCATTAAACATAAAACACAAACATTAAAACATTAAGACAAAGCATTAAAACATCATAGTATAAATAATAAAATCACATGATCCCAAAATTGTACACAGTAGCCATTCCGAATTGTCATTGCACATATTTCCTAATTATTCTTTGAACAGCATTATTTTACTGACCAAAGGTTTGGTCCCACAACCATGTCTTTCTTTTCTTTCTAAAGGCCAGGAGGGACAATGCTGATCTAATCTCAGTGGGGAGAGAGTTCCAGAGCTGAGGAGCCACCAGTGATAAAGCCCTTTTTCTTGTCCCCACCAACTGTACTTGGTGGGGAGAAGAGACCCAGAAGATCTTTACCTCTTTGATGGTTCATAGAGGTAGATACATTCGGACAGGTGAGCTGGACCGGTACAGTTTAGGGCTTTATAGGTTAAAGCCAGCACTTTGAATTGTGCTCGGTAGCAAACTGGCAGCCAGTGAAGCTGACGTAACAGGGGAGTTATGTGCTCCCTGTACGACGCCCCAGTTAAAAATCTGGCTGCCACTCGTTGGACCATTTGAAGCTTCTGAACAGTCTTCAAAGGCAACCCCACATACAACGTGTTGCAGTAATCTATTCTCAATGTAACAAGAGCATGGACCACCATGGCCAACTCTGACTTCTTTAACACCAGCAGTGCTGAAAATAA